ATACTCTGGCAACGTAATTGTTCGTATATTTTCCAGGGAAAGCGCTATTTGTCTACTATTCCGCAACATTCATCCCCTGCTTCTCAATCAGCACGAAACGTGTGATATCAAACACTTTTAGACCTTGACACATTTTTCTATAAATCCCGTCTCTGGTTTGAACTGCCGCTAGCTTACTTATGCCTGTAGGGTTACAAGCCCGACAGTTTTCCCTATAAAGCTGGATAAATATTAAATTCATTGAATATATGTTGATTTAGAATCCTTATATCGTAGAATGAAAATTCTCCATTTCGAGGCACACTTGTGGCGAAATAAGGTCATGTTCTAGACGGGCGGCCAGCGAGGAGAAGTTGGCACCCCTCCAACGGCAATACCACGGAACAGAAAGAAAAGAAAAGAAAAAGAATGCTGGAATATAGGGCATACGCTCTTTTGTGCCGGTATTGGATCCCTGAGGAGACGGGTGAGAGTCTGTGATTTCTCATAAGGGCGTCTCCGAGGATTGGAGTCCGATGCCTGACGTTGGGCTGCGAAATCAGGCACCGTGCCCCAATATGTACCCGGGTACGGTTTCCAGACTTTACTTCCACTCACTTCTGGGTGCAGTGCCCGCCAATTATGCGAGATCTCTGATACCAAACCTTCGGGCTCATCACTTCTTCCTCTTGTAGTGATTTCTAACTACCACTTCTACATATTCAGCAGCCCTAGAGAGCTCAATTAATAGAACCCGCTTGGGCATCATGGTACTGGCATTACACCTCTTGCGGGGGAAAGTAGCCAGATATTAGACCATGGTCTGGTAGATAATATTGTGCGCTCGTCTCACACCTTCCGAGCGCCTCCTGGGACGTGTTTTAAGTTGAATCCTTTTGCACTATTAGTTTTTGGACAAGAAAGTTGAGCTTCACTGAGGTTAATAGCGCAATGAAAGGCCTGAAAAGCGGTCCAAATACAAAACCGGAAGATCTGGTACAGCGAGGAAATTAGCATTTTCTATCACGAAGACAATCTGGTGGATTCACAATCCCCTAAACATAACCACATGTACCACGGTTGGGTCGGGAACCCTTACTGTACAGTACCCTGCGCCTATTTTTCCTCCGGCGCCTTATTGGGAATTGGTGCAACACACCACATGTATCGCTTGTGGGGGGGGAAGGCGGTCTAGAGACAATGGGGAATAGACTGGATTCGGGATCTATGGGGAGGAGACAAAAATGATTCTACAGTACATGCAAATAGGAAACTGTGATACCCAGGGGAAAAAAAACAAGGATTAGAAGCGAGGAGGCGTACTGAACATTCCAAAAAATACCAAGAGTTGTACATCTTCGCTCATACTCGCTCAGTTAGAAATACCACCCAGACCCCAGAAGTCAACCCAGATACCCCCGCACCGGTAATAGTGCAGTACAATACCGCACACTACTAAAAGTCATCACTTCAGGGAGCTAAGCTAACTCTAACTCTACCCCGTAATAAAGCCGGAAGAGTTAAAGCCAGGAATTCACTTTTTTGGGAAAAAGGCGAAGAGCACAGAAATAAAATAAAATAGAGAGTTGTTCTGTTTCTGACAGACAGAAAAACAAAAAGGCACCCGGGATGACTGGCGCAGGTGATCCCAGCCTCAGGGAACCTGATTTGTTTCCCGGGGGTATTACGGTAATAGTGGGATTGAAGAAGATACATATGATAAGATAATCTCATACAACCTTAGCACCATGAAACTGCTTCCCGAAATCCACAACCGTAACCAGGTAAGACCGGTAGAGGGAGTTTCCAGGGGCGTGCCCGGAACGAAGTGGGGGGACTAGGCGGAAGGGCAAAGAACTCCTCTGGTCCTGGTCGATCGGCACAAAGGTCCATCGTGCTATTGGGAATGGATCTAGTTTACTGATGCACACTGTTATGCAACCGGAAAGAAGAGCGAAAAACGTAGCATTGTAGTACCCGGCGGCTATCCATTTATCAAGGCATACGGTACTTATACGCGAGTGCTGCTAATGTCTGTGTTACCCGACTAACATAATTATATATTATACCTTTCAGTTAAACACCAAATAATTCGACTTCGCGCTAGGACGCCCAGAATCTCCTCTCTAGGATTATAGAGGGAGATAGAACGGAAAAGCTGTCATCCGTCCCAGGCCACCAGAGACAAATACCAGTAAAAAAGGGAGCACAACCGGGGTTACTAGGAGAGGTGCAGTACTCGCAACCCCAATACCATAGAGTGAGATCAAATCATTCTAGCTTATATTGAAATCTGCCCCGTGGCCGGTTGAGGGCCCAACTGCACAGTACCGGTACAGTACTCCGACTTTGTCCAGAGTTCGTCGTTTAGTGCCCCTTGCCACCCTGTTAACTCTACCCAATTGCGGGACGCCAATTGGACCGCCAGGCATAGTAGACGTATTCATTTAGGAGAGGTGCCTCTCTCCAATAGGTATCCTTACCTTTAAGAGAAATGTCCTGTTAACCCGTTGCGGTTGTCTGGATCTTGTATTGTCCAGGGTATTCTTTCGCACTACGAGAACTTGCGGAGACTGGACGGATGCCACAACTGGAGCGTAAAGTAAAGGCGAAATTTGCGCTGTGGTTAGTCGGCCTCTGCGGAAATTGATCAAGTACGTTAGAAAAACACCCTTGAGGAGAGAGCAAAAAAAGAGGATGTTGTAATGTTTCTCCGTTCTCCTTAGGCGCTGGTTGTCGGCCTCGAATGACGGTCGACATAGTTATCAGAGAACGGACTGCTTCTAGCAATTCCAACGGGGCGTAACGGAAACAGGGTGGTGGGGAACAGGGATTCGTCATGTAACTTCCGTAGGCGGGGGGGTCAACGAACAGAGGGGCTCAACGAACAGACCAAACAAAACCACCGTTCGCCAAGACCTTTTTAGTGTATTGCTCGCTGAACCCCCCTGTTCGTTGAGCCCCCGTCCATTTTATCGTGCCTGTGTTTTCTGGCACACTCCAGTATGATACCCTATGGGAGGCCCGCCGAACTCGCTACGCAGCCAAGGCCATGCGCGTAGTAAATTTACCACATGTACTCGAACTAGCGGATGATATCTAGCCAATTTCAACATTTTAATCACTCATGATCCCCGGGTGTTCTGGGGGCTTCAAAACTGCAATTACAGACAAAGGTATGGGGTACCCACCCAACTTAACCCACCCAAATCTAATTATACCGTGTCGCCGGTTAGCGCAATAAACTGCTGGGCTCGATTGAGGAAACGGATGGGAGAGGCTTTGCCGAAAGAAATAGTATAAAGTATGACACCCGTCCAAAAGTTTTGAAGGGCTCCCAATGTAAATATTACTGGCATTATGAATTTACTACATATACAATATCAACTGTTCAGAAACTCATGGGATTTGAAATGATCAATGAATAAATATGGAAAAATCCTTATATTGAGCTATGGGGTAGGGATATAGATGCTTTTGATACTATTGGATTTCATACAAAACGCACCGACCCTCCTCGGTATTGGCTCCTGTAGCTTTTTCAGGGAATATTCTTCAATATCCTGAGTCCCCCCATTGAGAGTTTCTGCTAGATGTTTTCTAATAGCATTGCGACTCCCATTGGTCTATACAAACGTCAGGCAAGAACTGATATATCTTCCCCTCCACCGCCTTCCTGCTATACTCAATTGGATTGATATCAGCTTAAGGTAAATCGGGTGGCTGCCCCGTAACCTGTATTTTTTATTTTATCTTTATTTTTTCAAACAGAGCAACACTATCTCTTGTAGCATTTGTTATGGAACTATACTGCTGGGTGATGAGATCCCCAATTGTATCTCTCACCTCTTACCAAGTATCAAATACCAAATCATCCAGAGCTTTAAGTTATACAAGTCTATCAATATTTTTCTAAAACATAGAAATCAAAGAACATTTATTTCGACCCCAATTTATTCCAATTCCAGGCACAAGTCCAGAGTATTGACTCAGACCTTGTAATGTGTCTAGCCAGAAAGAGGGTCGGACGCAGAAGTGAAACATCCCGTATGTGAATTTCGTTTGAACCACCACCAGAAAAAACTTTGCCGAAATCAATCCTCCAGATTCAGCACTAAAGAAGGGATATATGACAAACCGTGCTATCGGGAATGTCTCCTGCGTTTCTGAATTTCCTCTTCACAGTGATGGGCATGCATTGTGATTTCTAAACTCCTTAATTCACCCCGCATTTTAGCTCATCCATCTCTTGGTCCAACCCTCTTCCCGTCTGATACGCTAATCCTTTCAACGGAAGAGAGATTTGGATGGAAAAGTGCACTCAAACCCTGATTGCAGAATACAGCCAAAAAGCACGGAAAATGGGATATCTGGCGTACTGCGGTAGAGTATCAGGAATATCTCCTACTCTCCTGAACTCCCTCCCCCTACTGTTGGAAGTCGATTGCGATTTCCACATTTTTGAAATTTTTGTGCGGTTTAGTTGACATACTTCTCCGTCTGACCCGCTTTCCCGATTCAGGCCTGCAAGTTATAGTCATTGGACTCTATTCCAGAAAAAACCTGCTGAGAGCCCTGTTCCCTTGGGTGCTGTTTATAGGATGTGGTCGTTGTGGAATGTTGATAGAGCTTGAAGTTAAAATCTATGTGCCCACTTTAGTTCCTCCTAGTTCCTGGATAGATCGCAAGCGCCGTGCGGACAGTAAATTTCTTTGCCTACACGCACCAATGCTGGTTGTCACTTCGGGGGGGGGCACTGGTTTTGTGTACCGGAAATTCATTTCATTCTGTTAGCAATTGCGTAGCACGTCATTTACCGCACCCGGAGATATTGTTAAATAACGAGATCTGGAAAATATCCTTCTCTAACTTGAAATAAATCCCTACACCTTTAAACCAAGATCTATTCTACCGATTTCTTGGGTGCTCCGAGGAGCAAATGGATACAGATGAATGCGGGAATATAATTTAGAAACATGAGAGGAAAATAAAGCAAGCCCATACCAATAACCCAGTTATCACAAAAAGGAAAATTTCTTCGGGCCCGGAAGCTTCTTGAAAAGCAGTTCCTGGGCCCTGTTAGGATAAGAATACTCCCCCCTGTCAAAGTTTACAGGGCGAGATTGGCCCTCAGGGTACTTGATATCGTACTGCAAGAGGATGAAAGTAAGCATGAGCTTCATCTCCTCGATAGCGTAGTAGCGGCCAGGGCACGCGTGCTTCCTGTGACTGAAGGTGAGGTCGTAAGAAGCGGTAGTCCCCTAGTTGTTCTTGTTATCGGCACCTCTATCCTCGGCTTCAAGAGACTTTTTGTACCAACGGAACCCATCGAATGTGTCGGGGTTCTCAATAAACTCTGGGTTGGTGGAGAACATTGCGGATGGAGCGGCAAGCAGGGTGCCTTTCGGGAAGTAGGTACCATCGGATAGAGTAAGGTTTTTCATAACCTTACGATTGAACGTGACTTGACGAAGAATTAGGAACAGTGCTTAAGCCGGAGGGTATTGATGTGCTTACAGAGGGCAAACTTTCCCCTCATAGCTTCTCTGAAAAAGCTATCTGTTTTTCTCATATTGCGCAAAGTAGTCCTGTCCAACTCTCCCCCGTTCGCAGAAATTACAGCCTCCATCTCCTCACGGATTGGTTGCATGCACTCCTGATGCTCGGCGAGGTCCAAAATCGCGTTGAGGAAGTAAATGGCTGTTGTATGAACCGATGCCATATTAAGATGCAGCTGTGTTTCGGTCAGGGCTTCAACGGTCTTATGTTCCGGGTTAACGCGATCTGTGAACCATTGAAGAATGTCATTGTGTTTCTCATAGGCTCTTCCGTTCTTTTTCGCAAGGGTCTCTTCATCAAGACGCTTCTGGATAACCGGAGACAGGAGGGACCGTGCCTTTCTCTTATGCAAGTTGATATCCTTTACCAAATTCCTCGTATAGGAATAGAGCGGTCGAATCAATTTCGGCACACCGGCGAGCTTCTCTATCGCCCTGAAAACAATTCCGGTGAAGGTGATCGAGATGGTCAACCAATCCTCATTTCGGCATAAAGGAAGGCCGATGAAAACCCTGCCATTGATGCGACCGATTATCCTCAGGATTGTTGTGAAAACGTTAACTGGTACCCATTCTGTTGGAATTAACTTTATTAGCACCTACTATAGAAACGCCAAAATAGGTTCGATGGAAATCCTGACCATCATCAATAGCTGATCCTGGTATCTCACTGTTCAGAGCGAATCCTGTTTCGTCTAGTAGTGCCTCTTTCATGTTTCCTGTCGATTGAATTTCCATTAGCCCATCTGAACTTAAAATACCAGCTGAAAAGCTTGTGGTTAGAGGAGAATACGAGCAGGGACCTAGTTCCCTCCTCCCTCCTATATTGGATGCTATAGCTGGCGGAAAATGTTTTCGATGCCTTTGTATAGCTATGGGAATGCTTTCTCATTCAAATTTTTTAAGGAGTTCATTACCTAGATTTTGGGTGAGTTTGGCTCTCAACACATCCGGAATATACTGGTCTACCGAGAATTGACGCAAGCCGGTATATTCCGCCATCATGGTCTTTATCAAGGCGCACAATTAGTACTAATAATATTACGGGGTAATAGTCAGAGCAATGGGATGCCTACCTCGGCGGAAGCATGAATAAAGCTCACAGTGTCTTCCGGTGCGTTAGAGAGCTCCTTTACTTGGTCGTGCGTAAGAACCACCTTGTAGTAGCTGTTTGTTGTAATAACAAAACCTTTTCCACGGTACTAGAATGATTATATATTGTTAGAATCTTGTTTCCCCATAGTACTTGGCTTATTTTAAGCTAGATGGCCTCTAGCAATTGAGAAATCTATCTGTAGACCAACCTTTTAATAAGCATCCTTCACCATATGGAACCCATCAGAAACAAACTTCCGTCTTGCCTTGATCAGTGCAAAGTATCCTGAGGATTCAATTCCGACAATTGGAAGTTTTGTAGGAGCATGAATTGACCACTCCTTCATCCAGAGAAGGAAAACGCCTAAAAAAAGCACTGCAATAGTGGTGCAGAGAAGAGAGTAGTCATAAAGAACCTTGTATTCAGAGTGATCAACGAGCTGAGTCAAGATACCCATGATTCAGGGTGCGGACTGATTGCTGGTTGCCGGGGAACCAGAACAAGTAGAAAGCTTCGGGCTGGGGAGAAGCAGGAGGATAATTGAAAAGAAAAGGCCTTTTTTTCAATTATAGGCTGGTTTTTCAGTGGTACAGGCAAGAGTGAGTAGTCCCGGTTTATGCAGCGTTCAAAAGTGTCTTGTCCGGTTCGGTGGTCCTGCGGGGGAACCGCCGAGACTACCGAACCGGACAAAACGGCGACTTGCGGTTCATTTGGCCCCGCCAATCCTGGGGGCGGTAGGATTTTGCGAGAACCATCGCCAGCAAGCTGTGATATCATTTTGCAGCTCTCGTTGCGGTGGTATGGTAGGAACCAGCCCGTTATAGATGTGAGGTAGAACTTGAGGTTGCCGGAATTTTCTTTCTCTTCTTTCCAGTCTCCTTTATATTCCTTGCTTCCTAGCTTGGCGGCGTTTTTGGGTTTGGCTTGTTTTTGTTTAAGAGCCGTGCCTTGCGCCATGCTACACGATCACAGGTCAATATCGCGAGACATCACCTGCTGGTGAATATTCACAATTACAGAATTTGATGGCAGTACACAAAAGGAGTAGCAAACAGGGGTAACAAGCCTTACCCGTTAGCTATACGCAGCTCATGCTGCCTCACATTTTAGGGAATTTAAGGTGCCCGTTGTGGGGCCCCCAGTCTCCGGTCCTTCTACCTAAAGAAATATACACCCTGGGGCCGGATGGACCACGATCCGGGCCATAGTGCACCACCTAGGTAAATTGGAGATCGCTCTAGAACTCAAAGTTTCCATGTGGCGTAGATTCGAGGGGGGGGGGGGAAGAAATAAGGGTGTCCCCGATAAAATATAAAGCGAGTGATTTCCTGTGACGGCAAGGTAACCCCGTTTCCCGGTATCAAGGACAATTAGCACACTCTTCGCTCCTACACTCGCCATCGACTGGGGTGTCGTAAACAGGTTATTAAATCTACCGCTAGGGGATCCGGAGTAGCAGTGATCGTGGCAACTATAAGTTGCGCGGCTCCGTACAGTGGCGAGATACCGGTATAGTCGGCGCCTGCATGGGTGACACTTCTACCGGTATTTATCCCTCCTGGTTACATACCATTACCAGTGCCGGTACCGTAGTTCCTCCTAGTCCTTCAAAGGGTGGTCGCTACGGCAGTCAAGGATCTCAGGTCCAACGCCGGGTAAGGCATGGGGCTGAGAAATCTTCGCAAAACTTTCTGCAGATTTGGTAAGGTATCGTATTTTTAGGGTGCCGTAGATGATTATAGAAGTGATGGGCACACGGTGGATTGTTTGGGAGTGATGTGATCTATTATGGAGGGTTAGCAAGCTGTGGATTCTTTAGGCATGTCCTTCTTTTGTTATCCCAGGAGCGGACGTTGGAATACGGACCCGCCTGGACGAAGGAAAATGAGTGTGGAGACCTACGGAGGGATAGGATGAATCTGTTTCTGTTTTACATATACATCTTTCTCTACCGTTGGTTTAGAGAGAGAGGGGGCGGACAAGACAATGCTGTTTCTGGTCATACCTTTCTCACACGCCTGCTACGGCAGTCCTACCTACTCCGGTCACATACCGCTGCGCCGTTTGCTACTCATCCAACTAAGTTACAGTACCTCTCCCCCGTGACACCGTGAACAGTGTTAGTTCTGTGATACAGATTCTTGAAGAGCCAAGTCATCTAGTGCCGGACAACCAAAACCCACTCGCCGCCCATAGTTCTTGGACAAACTGGACATATTATTTAATTATTAACATTCGAGGGAAAACCTTTAATAATAATTCCTACGGGGAATTTGTAAAGGAACCCTCTTAAAAACATCTAATGATTGCTATATTATCAAATTTACCTTATCAATGCATTCAAGATTAATGGGTGGAATCATGTTGCAGGGGGTTATTTAATGGGGGTGTCCGGTATCTTCAACTCAAGCTCAACCCACCACAACACCTTCATGGGTGGCCTTGGATGAAAACAAGAGCCGTATGTCAATTCTAATTCATTATTTAGACAACGTACCGGAGGAATTTGCAATATACCTTCTTAGGGAGAGGTTATTCCTAATTTAAAATTTTGGATTAGGTTGGCTATGAGGGCAGGTTTTGATTATCTGAAATTGTACTCGTACAGTAGAACACTAGTACACATTTAGAAAAGGTATTGTTGCTCTAGCGATAAGGATACTGTAGCTTATCATATTTATTTACTCACACAATCCTCTTTCTTTCCCGGCAGCCTCCAACATCCGTAGTCCGAGGTAAAAATCTCTAGGAAGAACACCGCTATCTAAGGCGGTATAGTCCGAGAAACCGAAACTTGTAGATGCCATTAACCGGTATCCCATATACCGCCAACTAGCTAAGTCGGGCCTATCGCAATTTATCTCGGCTGTTTATCGATAGTGGATCGTCGGAGCAAACAAGGTACCGGTTGGAAATGTTTCTGATGACTTCCGGAATTGGATGGTGTGATTGACCGAGCTGGCACCTGTGCGGAAGAGTTGACCGTAATGACGTGATATGCTATCGGACGAGGGGCTGAAATTATGCTGGGAGGGTTGACAGTCAATAACACTGGAAGGAAGGTGGTTGAAGAAGGTGGAACAACAGAATTCGAATTCAACAAAAAAGAAAAGGGTGTTGTTGCTCGTACAGGTGGGTTGTTTGCGTCTCCGTTCCCCCTCTTGCACAGAGGAACGCAAGGCGATGCCTCCGGGTGAAAATTTTCCACTAGCTGAGCCTCCTCCCAAACAGAAAATTCTATTGGTTAAAAACCCCCATACATGACTAGAAACCCCCAAAACCTACTTTCGGCCACACCGGTAGTCAAAGTTACTATGATACCGTCGCCTCAGCCCGACCACAATTGTGTCAAGCCTGTCTGTACCCATTAAATAGAACCGCGAGAAATTTCAAAAGTACTGTTGTCTGAATTTAAGAGCATTATCTCCCGGCGATAGAATACCATCATAGACTTGAGTAGAAGGGGATAAACTCGATAGGATAAAACCCCTCAACACATAGCCTACGCTCACCGAAATATCATACCCGGACGGGTACTGTACGGTACGGGATTAGCCTGTTTAAAACACCCATTTCTGGCATCCTATCAACACGGGCGTTATCCCCTAAATTACAGTGTTGATACCAGTAGTGCCAGGGCTCCCGAGTTCCCCTATATCACGCTAAAGTTTAAACTAGTGCAATTAGTCTTGGGCTATTCCGAAGGGGATATTCAAGTGATAAAATGCTTTTAGGCTAAGTCGCATACCCTTCCCCCTTCAGTGCGGCGAGTCTAACGTGGAAACCTCCCCTTCCTTTGTATGTTCGAATAATTGATGGCAGCATGGACGCGGCTCGGGACTTGCCGTAATTTAACCACGTATCTTAGCGGTCTTCAAATTGAAAGGTTTGTATTTTTATTCCAAGATCACCAATAGTGAGGCAATTCATCTGTCGATATGTGCTAAAAACCTAGTTACATGGTAGCATTACTGGTCTGCGAGGTTGATGCTGCCAATTAGAGTAGAAAAAACCACCAATCTGACCATCTCAGCTTTAGCGTCACTCGGCATTATCAATGCCGCGGTGATAGTACCCTGTTCTAGTTTTCACAGGGATCGTATCAGTTTTCTGAGGAAAAAAAAACAAAACAAAAAAGCACAATCAACTCAGGGTTCACAAAATTTCCTATCGGTGAGTCATGAAAAATATGAGATATTTTTCACAAAGACTTTTGTCGAATCGCTGTGGCTCACTACCCAACCGCGGGACACCAATTGCACCGGCAAGCATAGTTGCCGGTGTTTGTTTGTGAAAAGGTCACCCTCTCCACTTACCGGTACCGTACCTTTGAGAAGGTTGGTCACTTTTTTGGGTCGTTCGGATCATTCATCGTTCCCGGTATTCTGTCCTTTCCTGGAGCTTGTGGAGGCTGGAAAGGAACGTTATGGAATGAAGTGGAAAACTGAGGGGGATAGAAAAGAGTTCTCTTGCTCGCAGTTGCTTATCCAACTGCCAGATGCACAGTAACTTACGTTGCAAGTATTTGAAACCGAGGGACTCGGCGGCAAGCAAGGCGTGCAGAGGAGTTCGCGGGCGGCATGAGATCCCCACTTCTGAGCGGTCTAATCTCGCTGTCTACTGCGCTCGGTATGGCTAAGTTGCCCTGCGGTCCTTAGATACTCTTATAAGCTTTTTTCCTTTTTTCAGATTATCCGTTACTAGTGCATATTACTCTTAGTCTGATGGTTCTGTTCTTGTAGCTGGTCCCTGGTCTCTCGCCAACTCGGCAACTCACCATCCTTCCGTGGGGCGCCACTGATGCCGGTGGTCGTGAGGGTACTAACGGCAGAGGGGTTTTCGGGGCAGAGGCGGATGCGACCCAGGCCACTGAATAAGGGTTTCCGGGGGAATGAGGTTGGTAAAACTGTCTAAAATTACTCATTGTGGCCTCTTGGCCGAGGATCTGGATTTAGTCCAACAACCCTAGGTAAATTTTTAAAATTTATTACTCGATCTATGCTACTCTCCCGAGCGCCCCGCCACATCCCTCACACCCAAGTTCAACGCCATTCACACTCCACCTTCCACTTAATCAACTCCTTCGCCCTCGGGTCTTCGACCCGTCGCAAATTCTATAAACGTGGGAGATGCTCTTGTAGGGTAAAGAGCACCAATCGGACGGTGGGCCAAGATGCCGCTAAGAGCGTCCGTAACGCAAGAACGTTCCCAATATTCATATCTGTAGATCCCATTTCCACTCCCAAGGCATGACAGAACCCCTCGGCTTGTCACGGCCATTCCGAATACAACACCCACACTAGAGTTGACGCGTGGCCACCGCTCCGTCCATTGCCTTGTGCCATTTGCTTAAGTAGGTTCGACGAATTGTCACATCTCCCGCGATAGCGTCGATGTTTAGCGAAACAAGTAGGAATCTAAGCACAAAAGTTGGTAAGTATATCGTATACCATTGAT